TTAATGTATGTACCAAATTTGAATGAAATCCGTCCATGCATAACTGAGATCCGGGTCCGGAATGGTGAAAATGTGCGATTTCAATGCATTTTCGGCCTTAAAGCAGCCGCCATTTGGCTATCGTTAATGAGATCATGAAACAAATGCACATACATATTTGTGACATGATGTACCTTGTGTGTGTGAAGTTTGAACTCGATCAATCCAAGCATGTCTCAGACACGGATCCAGAACTGAATTCTTTAAAACAAAATGGCCGCCAGTCGGCCATTTCGAACCCGATCCAAAAAAAAAATGATGTGCATCAAGGTCCTATTATGTTTAATGTATGTACCAAATTTGAACAAAATCCGTCCATGCATAACTGAGATCCGGGTCCGGAATGGTGAAAATGTGCGATTTTGATGCATTTTTGGCCTTAAAATGGCCGCTATTCGGCTATCGTTAATCAGCTCATGAAAAAAATGCATGTGCATATGTCCCATATAATGTGTGATGTATGAGTGAAGTTTGAACTTAATCGGTCCATGCATGTTGGAGATACAGGTGATCACGGACGCACGGACGGACGCACACAGGGCAAAACATAAGTCCCCGTTTTCGGACTGCGTCCGAACGGGGACTAATAAAGAGCAAAAATCCAGTAAAAATATTATCAAGTTTTTATTATTTTACATTAATATTAACAAATCGTGTGAAATTATATGTACAGAGAAACACATATTTACGCTTTGGTTGACAGAACTTCTCAAAGTAAAAAAAGAGGATCTGCGAAACTTTATACAATTGTCGGACACGCAGTGAATAATACCGGTATGTTTTTGTAATACATGCAGTTCCAGTGACTTTGCTTTCTGAGAGAAAAAAATCTAGCTATGCACCTAAAAAAAACAAAACATTTAGCCCAAAGTAAGCAGAGGTTGTAGCAAATGTGCTCCCATTGGCTGTTAGATTTAATTAAAAAAGATATTTGAGTCTTAAAAACATGGCCGCCGTTAAATCCATCTCAATCGAGGTCCGTAATTTATTTTCCTGCTCATAATGGAGATAAATTATGGTAGCTAAACATTGAAATTGCCACCCTGACTTCAGTACCGAAATAAATAGCTGATTGGGAAAATGTGTCTCTGTTGACAGAGGTTCGATTTACCGATAAACTTCAACACCGCATGGAGCATAGAGGTCCCGGTCACGAGTGCAGTAACGCACTCGGTTATCATATTTACTTCAAAGGTAATTTAAAAGCGATGATAGATTCATTGATATTTATTACAAGTACTTTTTAATTTCATCATTGCTTTCAAGCAGTCACGGTTGGCCAAACTTGACTTGTGTTTTCTCGATAATTCTAGTCTAATATGTCGTCACGAAACCAAGTTTCAATCTGCTAGCAGTTGCCAATGAACACCGGCAACAGCAATCGTACATAACAGAATCATGATCAGCGAGTTCTAAACTTTTACGTTTTTATTATTCCAGTATTTTATATTCCCAAGCCTCCTAAATGTAAATAGATAAAAAAAAATAAAAAAATAAAATCTAAGCTAATACATTACAGATAATAGCAAGTATAAAATTATGATACAACGATAGATAGAACTTAGAAGACAAAATGCAAAACTCAAATAGTGAGAGAAGGTTATCACTGGGGTTGCTGTCTTATTTCAAAACACTTCTTTAGGTACCTTGCTACGGGGAGTGTTAGGCCACTGCTGTTTAGCAAGGCTATGAATTGTGTCTTTGGTGGCAAATTTTTAAAGTTTTGGTTTTTGCCATTTCGAATAGGACATTTCTTTCGGGGGTATATCTTTTACATGGTGATACTCATCTTCTACTTCATTTTGATCACAAAGGTTGCATAATCTATTAGCAAGGGGTATTCCTTTGTGTCTGCCAGTCTCAATTTTCAAGTTATGGTCACTGAGGCGGAATTTAGTTAAATTTTCGCGCATCTCAATGTTTTTCAGGGTAACAAGGTATGTTTCGAAGGCAAAATTGTTTTTTAATTCTCTGTATGTTCTTAATTTATTTTTTCATTTTGTTTTGATCGATTGTCATTATGTAATTCACTTTTCCAAGTTGACATGAATGATGTTTGTATATTTTTGTTGATTTGTCCTAATTGCCTTGCTGTTAGAGTTTCATCGCTGTCGATCAGGTAAGACTGGTTGATGTTATTTAAAAGGGAATCTATATTGGTGTACCATTTACTATTAATTTCTTTATTTTCTTGGAAAGCTAGTTTTAGTAATGGATTTGACGAGTTCTTTATACGCTTAAAATATTTTATCATTTGTTTTTCGATAAAAGTCTCCAATGGGTAACGTCCAAGTTCGCCGTATAAACCCATTGTTGTAGTGTTTTTCGATGTACCCAAAAGAAAATGAAGAAAATTTATATGTACATCTTCAATTGGTGATTTCAGTGAAATTTCATCTCCCAATACATCACTACCATATGTGAGAATTGGTCTGATTAGTTTATCAAACAGAGAGAGTGACAGTGGTATACTTAGATTTTTGCCTTTAAAGCTTTTCTTTTTATGCTTTTTAGGCCTTCCTTGAATTTTCCATTAGCGCTTACTATTAATCCTAGGTAATTGGTTGATTTTACAGTAATTAACTCACAACCTTCAAAGAAGAAAATATCATTCTCTAGAAGTCTAAATTATCCAGCAAGTTTGTAATCCTGTTTTCAATTCAGAAAGTATTACAAGATCGTCAGCATACATTATACAGTTAATAGGTGTATTTTGTAGTTTGGGTGGGTCACATCTAGGTTTATTAAGAACATCAGGTAAATCGTTGAATAGGGTTGGGCTTAAGTTACAGCCCTGTTTTACTCCCACCCTTGAAGTGAAGTGTTCAGTTAATCCTTCTTCGCTCTTAACTTTATATTTTACCTTACTATACATATTTTTTATAATTTTTTAGATTTTACCCGATATTCCAAGTTTTAACAATTTAATATACAACCCCTGATGCCAGACACTGTCGAAAACCTTTTTCAGGTCAACAAAGCACGCATATATTTTATTTGAATTTTTACTATTATTTTTTTGTATTTTAATATTTTCTTTGTTATTGACAGTGCTACTACCGGGGGGGTATCATAAAGATATTTGTTAATTATTGTCTTAAGAATGAAGATATTGTCTGTTGTCCGTCGATCTTTTCAAAATCCGAATTGCTTGTTTGAAAGTATATTCTTTTTCTCTAAGAATGTGGTTAGTCTAATGTTTAGAATGCTTGTAAATAATTTGCCAAGGCAACTAGAAATGGCAATGCCTCTATAGTTAGATGGGTTGGATTTGGAGCCGGATTTGTGGATTGGTATCAAAAAACTGAGGTTCCAAGAATCTGGAAAGTGGTTTGAATTAAAAATTATATTAAAAAGCTTATGTATGGCTTTCAGTAAGTTGGCTTGGCTGTGTTTTAGCATTTCATTGCAAATTTTATCTTGACTTGAAGCTTTATTATTTTTCAATAGGTTAATCCCTTTTAAAATTTCATCTTTTAGAATTGGACCGTTGAAGTCAGAATTAAGAGCCATGTGTTCTTCTTTTTCTTTA